ATCCACCGCCGCTAGGCTTAATTTTAAGGTAAACCGTCAACCATTATGAATTGTGAGTGCTTCATGTAGACGTGAACAATTGATACAGGGCACATATGATTCAAGCCTTTATAACATCCATATTAGTGTAAGGCTTACCTTTTGGCAGGGAGTGGTGTATATACAAAAATCTTTATTTTTTCAACACAGAGCTAGCAGGGAGTCCAGCACTGTATTTACCACTGAACTGTTTCTTTGAATTAGCTATAGCCATGGATGGGGACATAGTTTAGAAAACATGGTGTGATCACAGGAAAATGTGCTTTGGGAAGGCATGAAAACAGTGGACTTTTGCAAGCGGTATGTGTTTGCATTCTGGCAAAAACTTTAATAAAATCCTCCAGTCTGAGATGGACCTTGAATCCAGGATGAATGTAAAAGATGCAGTCAATAATTCAGTTAATGAATTTCCCCTTCCTTCAATTTGCATTACCTGCGAACAGCTTTTTGATGTTACCTCATTATTTTTTGCATTCCAAATTATTCTCGGGGCTTTTTTTGGTGAATAACTCCTGATCCGCACAACTTCATCAGCTTTGCAAATCTGAAGGATCAGATACAGAATTTGCAGTTTACACTGGGCCTGATAAAGGCAATTTAGTCCTTCTTGCAAACTTTAACTTACACATTACTTTAAGTGCTACTGAAATGCAACTTTTGAGAATGTATGCTCTGCAAGAAGGAAACCCCATCACAAACACAATCCTATTAAATTGTACATTATGAAATGGAACATATGTTTTCATAAACTTTTTCTTTCCTCTTTGGCTCATCTCTCCTTGTATAAAGATATGCATTTGGCTGCAGAGAATTATTTGTACTCATTCCAGGCTAAGAAATATTAATCCAAAAGGAGTATTTTTCCCCTATGGCTAGTTTTATTTGAGATCCTTTTATGTCATCAGCAGATGCCTGGCTGCAGCAGCATTTTAGCTTGGGCAGGAATCATTTGGGCACATTTCCCAGGGCAAACCTGCCTCACATCTCAAGTCCTTTGTCTCAAGTCCTCTGTTTAGCTGAGTTCTAAATTACAGAAGACTGCAGCTTTGAGATGTACATTGTATAATACAAGGGAGAGGCTCACCTCCAAGGGCTGTGGGTTGAATGCATCCTGTCAGCTTCCCAGGCTGTCTCTTGCATTGATTTTTTTTCTTTTGCTGGGAAAGAACAGTAAGGGGAGGGTATCTTCTTTTTCAATGAAGTGAGAGATCCAGAGGGCTGTTGAACTCTATTGTGAATGTGCATATGCACAAGCTAAGGCTTGAATACATGTGATAAGTCTAATTAGAACATCTCCAGCTGCAAAGGGTGAGGAGAGGGTAAATGATTCTTTTTAATTTAAATTGTACATGCTACAGAGAGAATAATTCAGTACCCTGTAACATGAAAACACAACCCTACAGCCGTGGGTGCCTGGGGCAGTTACAGAATGCTTTCTCTTGTCGTCCATTTGATTGGTCTTATGATGGCTCATTATCACTCACAGTTTCAGCATAGGGCCTTCATCGATAAAGCTGTGCCCCTATTAGTGTGGTTGCCATAATATTCCCTATTGTTGCTACACCAGAGTAGGTCTGCCTGTGGGAGCAATGGTGGATAAATATGTTCATCTAATCCAGTCTTGTCACTTTAAATAGTGTCATCTAATCTGGTTGACCCAGGAGTTAAGGTGCACTGGTACTTAATTTGTACGAGAGCTACCTGCACCTTATTTATGCCAGTACTGTCAGTGATGCCAGAAGTGATAAGATTAGAAGTAGTAAAGCTAATGTGGAAATGGTCCATGCTGTTGCATCATGTGTTGTGGGAGGACTCTTTTTCTCACAGAAAAATGCCAAGCAGATGGCAGATGACAGGCCCATCACAATCAATGATGCCCCTTTAGTATCATGGTGACATTTAGTTACTCCCAAGCCATGCCCTGTTTTTCTCTATGGTGGATATTTGGGCACCTAAAGTCACAGAAATATCACTCTGGCAGTGAAAGGCAGGCGGTTCTAGGTCTAGTTTGAACAGATGGGATGCTGAAGTGCTTTGCCTGGCTCTTCTTGCTGCAGTCACTGAACTTCTTGGGGAAAATCAAATGAATTCTTTGGCAGTTTCCTCACCTGTAATATATAATGATGATCTGATGACATTATCAAGAACTATTGGTTGTTAGAACAAGCAGACTTCGGAGCGGGTGTACTGTGGCTCTCTAAGGGAATCAGATTCGCAACCTATGTGATGGGTCATCACTAAACCCCTAAAGCAACACTGGGGTTGCCTGGAAACTACATGTCCTACCTTCATTTCGGTCATCTTTCTCCTGCCTTGTTTTCTGTACTCTGATCCTTTATCATGAGTATCTAAAATCCAAAAGCTGTATAAATACTAACAAAATTGCTTCTGTGTGTATGTTGGTAATAAATCTGATGGGCTTGGCCACTCATGAAATGGGAATACGAATGGTCAGCAGGGAGGGCAGAATCAAACTCTGCCTTTTATATTTGTTGGAAACCACTTTTCCCACTATTAATTCACCTCTGATAATGTGCAGCATCCTTGCGTCTTTGCTTCCACATATTTTCTTAGTACAAATCCCTCTTATTCACCCCTTGCTTTACAGTGTCCTCCCCATGACTTGTCAGCACCAGACTAATTTGAGTTCCTAGGATTTACCTGCAGTCGGATTGTTCTGACAATCTTTCCTTGCTTACAATAAATGATTTAAAAAAAATATTTTTATTGCTAAGTATTCAGCAAAGCTGTATTTGCATATGGGTGATATCTTAAAAACCATTTCAAGATTTAATCTGAAAGAGCAGGGACAACAAGTGAAGAGGCAAACTAGGATTTATAAAAATAAAGATTTACTGTGGGGCTTTGTGAAAATAACGTGAAGAGCCTCTTACTGATTTTTAATGGACTTTGGATCTGGCCCATGGTTCAATATACAACCTTTTCTGGAAAAGTCATTTATATCTCTATCGTCTCTTCCAAGTCCTTCCATGAAGACCCAGGTGATAGAGTTACTTCTCCTGCTCTCTAAGTCCATTAAAAATCCTTATTAATTCATCATTGTCATTCT